AGAGTGTCACTATTACTACAATATAGACAGCGGTGCTCATGAGCGATCTGGCAACGTATCTGGCTTATTAGTTACCTGGTTAAAAAGACCAAGAAAACATTCTTAGTAATTGCAAAAGTTTCAAGGTTTACTAGCTGCTGGCTGTAAGAAAGAGATACCATGAAGGTAGTAAAATACACTCGAAACAAGTAAATACATGCGTTGCCAACTGTTTACCGACGTTTTTCCTAAGATTGTGCTGACCATGCAAATGCTATAGGTAACAGAAGAACTGCCCCTATAGGAACTACTAGTGTGGTGGTACTGCATGAGATAATTCACCAAGCTGCTATCCCTCAACCGTGGTAACTTGTTCTGCGTACTATTGCAGTTCTTGTGCTTTTGATGACATCACATTAATGTTGTTGCGATCATTCTCAGATTCTTAGCTCGACACAGTTATCAAGATATGCCTTTCCTATGTTGAGGAATTGTAGGAATGAAATTGAACTGTCTGGCCATTCCCGGAGTGTGAATTGGCTAAGCTTTTTTAAATGCGACGCAATTCATAGCGAACTTCGGCGACTTTGAGCGTATCTATCTATCTATCTATCTATCTATCTATCTATCTATCTATCTATCTATCTATCTATCTATCTATCTATCTATCTATCTATCTATCTATCTATCTATCTATCTATCTATCTATCTATCTATCTATCTATCTATCTATCTATCTATCTATCTATCTATCTATCTATCTATCTATCTATCTATCTATCTATCTATCTATCTATCTATCTATCTATCTATCTATCTATCTATCTATCTATCTATCTATCTATCTATCTATCTATCTATCTATCTATCTATCTATCTATCTATCTATCTATCTATCTATCTATCTATCTATCTATCTATCTATCTATCTATCTATCTATCTATCTATCTATCTATCTATCTATCTATCTAACACCACCAGCCATTTGCAAGATCACGCGCGAGGAATGCACCAATTACAGACGTGAATGGCAGAGAAAAAGAGGGGTAATCGAGAGAGTCAGGAGGATGGCTCGAGAACAATGAGTGACGCTACCTCGGAGACTCGTTTCATCTAGGGACCTTAGTCTGGATAAAGCATTGGCGCAAAATGCAGCATGTCGCATTTCGCACCGGTTGCCTTCGGGCCACGTTGACGGACGCTGGTCGCGCCGGTCGCGCCTCTCGTCAGACAATAGAGTGCTCGCGTTTTGTTAACGTAGCGTCGCTGTGCCCAACGTGCGCGCGCGTCAACGCTAGATTGGAGTACACTGGCCCTTCAGGATGCGCTCGTGGCTGTGTTGCTAGCTCTACATATACCAAATTTGGTGTTACGTGACGTCAATGGATGACGAAATACATGACGGGTGCAAACATGATAATAAAGACACGTGTGTCATGTAAGAAAACGACAACATACCACGCTCATAGCGTGCTCGCGACCGTTTCGCTAGCTCCACATTTACTAAATTTGGTATCACATGACGTGAATAGATGACGAAAGTGAACTACACATTCAAACATTATAATCATGACACGCAAGTCACGTACGGCATCATTTACCTCTAACTGGTAATGTTGGGCTGATTTTAAAGTGACATGTCAACCTTTCTCATTCGTGCTTCGCATATCCACATATCATCGATTCCCACTGTACGTGGGATCTGCCAATTTTTTCAACCCGAGGAATTGAAAGGAATGAAATTAGGGCAAGTTGCAAGTCCTTGGAATGAAATTGGTATAAAATGGAGGCACCCATTCCGCAACACTGGTATCAATTATTTAGGTTGGTTTCACAGGCCCCCATCACACATAGCGGAACATTCACTGAAGTGCATTAAGCTTGTGATTAAGGTGTTGTTACGCTATTTTATGTCCCTCACGGATGAAACTTTTGTTCGTTTAGAACTTCAATATGTGGCGGTTGCATGGGATCCTCTGACCAAAAAAGACATTATGAATTCAGAGTGTAAAGGAAGGCTGTTGGATTTGTTTTTGGAAAACACAAAAGAGAATATTTCCATTCACTGATAATGCTTACCAATAAAATAGGTTCACTGCAACATCACTATAAACTTAGTCGTCTACAGTTCCTACACATCATAAAAGGGAAAACTGGCCTTCAGTTGCCTTGTTCTTTAGTAGCCCTAAAACATGATAGACTAGACACAGACACAGCTTCTTTCTTACGCCGATATTTTCCGAAACCGAATGTCACAAGAACAGTTTTTTCCCACGCAACATAACAAAATAAAACTCTCTACCTGTTCACGTCATACAATCAAGGAACTTATCAAAATAATTAGAAAACAATTTCTTTTAAAATTTCGTATAAATAAGAGCAGTGCTTACACTTTTCTTGCGATTCTGTCATGAATACCATGCTGTGCAGTGCCCTACTATTGTATCAAGATTTTTTTTGTAGTTTGTCACCTGCGTAACTTGTTGTTTTTGACCCACGTGAAAGTTTTTTCTTATAGGTTGTATCTTTTTTATGCACAGTTCGTTTTTTCTCCTTCTTGAATTGTTAGTATTTTGTGAATGCCTTGTCATACTTTTATTATATTGGCCTATCCTGCGCCCCACCGCGGTGGTCTAGTGGCTAAGGTACTCGGCTGCTGACCCGCAAGTCGCCGGATCAAATCCCGGCTGTTGTGGCTGCATTTCCGATGGAGGCGGGAATGTTGTAGGCCCGTGTACACAAATTTGGGTGCACGTTAAAGAACCCCAGGTGGTCGAAATTTCTGGAGCCCTTCACTATGGCATCTCTCATAATCATATAGTGGTTTTGGGACGTTAAACCCCACATATAAATCAATCAATTGCCTCTCCTGCATGGACCAGCATATTGGCCTGGAGTATCGATAAAAAAAACGTTTGAGCTCATTGAATTTGCGAACAAACAAATGAAATTGCACTGCCATTGCTTATCGGGCAAGTTTCTCGCTGTGTCTCGTCGCTGTGTCTGCGGGATGCCACATTATTTACTATTATAAGGCTGTTCAGTTCCGCTAATGTACAGGTTGTGACAAAGTAACTATGTGAGCATGTAGATAATGTTTAAACTAGTACAGTTAAAACGAATTTATAATATGAATGAAATTCTTGGCGGTGCTTTCAACAATGACATTTTGTAGGCGCTTACAAGTGTTTTTATACGTTTGCTTGCCTTTGCAACATGTGCTTTTATCTGCCATTTGCTTATTAAGTTCTATTGTGGCCCATTTTGTTCAGGTTGTATATAAGCTCGTATACATTTTAAGATAGGATATCTAGGTAATTAGCATTTACAAAATTGTTAGAATTGTCATGACCTCACTTAGTGGAAAGTGGCCTCTAGAAGTGACCGAGAAGTGACGACTTGAACATCATCTTTCGACGCATCAGGAAGAAATTATTGACGGGCAGACAGACGCTTGACTTGCTGGACAATGCAGAGGTGGCGTGCGGAGTAAGACTTGAACAACAACAACAGCAAAAAAAATTGCCCGCAGCTTCCCTCGGGGGAACACTGAGGAGGATGCGGACCATATAATTGGTTAACGGGGTGTTAAAGTGCGACTTACTTGGGTCGATGGCTAAATTGGTTAACGTGGTTGTGAAATGGGGTGTTAAATTGCGACTTACTTGGGTCGATGGCTAAATTGGTTAACGGGGTTGTAGGAGGGGGTGTTAAATGAGTGAACACGTACACACGTATGCGAAAGGGCGGCGCTGGTCGAAGGGACGTCGATCATTGTGTTTGTGGATTCGTTGGAATTCATTTCACCGCGACCTTGGACGTCGACGCGCCGTACAAACCAACCGACGAGTGGCAACTGAGCGAGCGAGCGCCGACCTTGAGTATATATACAGCACGACGGCGCATGCACTGTCAGCTGTTGAATGTTCTCGAAGCGCGACGCCACATGCGCGTCCACTGGAGAATCAGGAGAATTGTAGATGTCGAACGCGGTGTGTAGAGGAGGAAGGGTGCACATATGGTGGAGGAGTGAAGCGCGCGCGGTGTGTAGAGGAGGAAGGGATGCACAGATGGTGGAAGAGTGGGCGACGGCGCGACGGCGCATGCGCGCGCGTCAGCTGTCGAATGTTCGAGAAGCGGTGCGGACGGCGCACTTCAAGGCGCGAGTATAAGATGCTTCCGCATCTAAAAAAAACGTGCGATAGCTTCACTATTGAGAAACTCACGGAAGCGCGTAGCACAGGGAGCATGAGCCGCCAGCCATTCGCGAGCGTAAACTGCTCCATTTACCAAAGCGTTGATGTTGCCAATGCTTGAGGTAAGCATTGCGGGCACGAGCAGAATCTCGTTAGGGAAATTCGCAAACTCTGAGTGCGATATTGGCGGTACTTGTTGCTGCGCTTTGTTGGCTGCCAGTTTGTTACGGCATTCGCGCCATCTGCAGTGAGTTCCGTCAAGCTGTATCCGCCATCCATCAGGAGTAGCAGCAACGCCGAAGCGTCAGAGGAGAGGCATTCACTCGCTGAGTGGCGCCCTCTCTTTCCGGCTTCAAGGTTTGCCGCAAATTTTTTTAGCATATTTAGCAATTTTAGTTATGTACTGCAGTTAATTCTTGACTATTTCTATTTGTTGCATTTTAGACCTCGTCGCTAATTCTAACCTAATTTTGAGCGCTCTACTGCGAGCGTGATCGCGCTACGCAAGATATATGAATGGATGACAAGCCAAAACCACCAAGTGCTCCCCACTTACAGAAACATGCATGGCATTGCCTACACGGTCACCATGCTTCTAGATTTCCACAGGGAGGTCACCAGCAAGATATATGAATGGATGACAAGCCAAAACCACCAAGTGCTCCCCACTTACAGAAACATGCATGGCATTGCCTACACGGTCACCATGCTTCTAGATTTCCACAGGGAGGTCACCAGCTGGGCACTTTGCGAAGGAACCGTTACAATCGCAATCGCCCGCTTAGTTTGGTGCCACTGATGTGCGTAACTGCCTACATACGCACCACATCTGCAGGTGTTCTGGCCTATGCGGGCTGTCCGGGGATGGGTGCACCTGCGACTTGGACCAGTCGTACACCTGAGCCCAGGGCTTCTCGGAGCCCCAGAAGTGCACGATCTTAGCACCGGATGAGCCGAACTTCAAGAATGCCTGGTCGAAGAAAGGACGTCCTGCTGAGCCCTGTATCAGGAAAAGCAACGGTGAAGGACGACTGAGGGACCACCAGATGTCGAGCTCATTCGCTTGCACAGTCAATTGAAGGGTTGCATGACTGTTACGCACATCTGCATGGTAACCAACACTTTCAATCGATGAGATGTGTTTGTAACTGCACGGCATACACACTGCTTAACATGAGTGAGGTGCACAAAGAGGAAAAAGAAATATTTTGTTTGACGTTTTTTTTCCTCAGTTGCCCAGTGTATGACTCTCGTGAAGGAGAGATCGAAACTATTTTTAGAGATAATTTTACTCCCGTCGGACCTGAACCAGAGGAGCGGTAACATGTACTTTTAAGAGAGCTATGTGCATTGCAAGTCGGCACAACCCTAAAAGAATGACGCGCACTTTCCTGTTCTTTATGAGTTTCATAGTTGTGTGCTCTTGCATACTCTGTTACGGAATACCTATGAATGAACGAAGGAAGGTAACTCTAAAGGCTATAGTGGTTCTTTTTGAAGGGACAATGAAGAGAAACAGTGACTTTGTTCGCATTGATGAACTGTACTTTGAGATCTCTAGTGGTATATGTTCCACTATCATACCTTCATTATTAGCGAAAAAAATTAAGGTCGAAATTGCAATTTTCCATTTCGCGTAAAAATTTCTCCGCGAGACGTGAAAAATTTCAACATGCATCTTTCGTATTTTTGCGACGTTGGCCAAATGAAATTTTTCGAAACTTCGTATGCTAGGTCTAGGTAATAAATAGATGACAATGTACTTCATTTTCATTAATTACAAGCTAAGCAGGACTCCGTAAATCAACGCATTATTAGTTTATGAAGTCACGGAGCTTGGTGCACAAATCACAAGGGCTGACTGCCAGATATATTCGTATTTTCTTTTCGCGCATTTTCCCGCTTGCCAAGCGTCCTCTCAAGGTCAGAGTGACGGATTCGGGACTATGACAGTGTACTTTATTAATATTACGCGAAGAGTCATTTTTTTGTTTACGCTCTCATCAAGCACCACTTTAATTAAAACTAACACAGAAGAAAGCAAGGAAGGTATACGGGATGTTACGTATTGTAATTATATTGTAAATTTGAATAAATTAAAGTGGACAAAACGATAATTTGCTGTGGGCAGAGACTAGACGTAGGACCTTCGAACAGCTGGTCGGATGATCTTTACGAACTCAGATAGAGGGGCGGTCATTCTTCCGTTCACTTTGTGGAGTACATATGTGTATTTCAACTTGGGAGTCTCGCTCAGCGTCGCCAGTAGCCGTGACCGTGAGTGCAGAACACACTTATTGTTGTCTGGTGGCGCCACAAAACACGTGGTCTTCTACGAGCTAGCCACATGATCCCTCGCATATACCTTAAAGCAAACCAGTATGCCAAAACGGGACCCTCACTATAATTGAGCGATAAAATGGGAATTCGGTGGGTCACTTTCATTTAATCAAGCTCGAAATAATTGCAATTGAGAGACAAGAAATTCAAGCCAAGGATTCGGCTCCTTTTCCACATTAATAGTAGGGCTTGGAAGAGATACCCAGAAAGGTATTCCGGATTACAGATTTTGAAATGCACGTGCTGGAAGCCTGAACTACAGATGCTGAGATACATTTGTAAACGAGGCATAGTGATATTTTGAAGATACTTTTGCAAAGAGATGAAAAAAGTATGTCAAGTTACATGTATACTAATGTTCTGCAAATACTTTGAGTACATAATAGGCAACACTATGTTGCACTCGATTAAAAATGAAAGTCCATCATACCGCTTGAATCAGTATTTCAAAAAGCGTGTACCTTTCCTTACGCATGCATATCATCTGTTCTGCTGAGAAGGTGGTTGCGCTAATACCACTGCAGTGGCACTAGCTTTTGAAACAGGCTGAATTAGAGACAGCGCTTGTTCGGCCTCAACACAAGCCTCGCGAAATATAAAACTTTGTCTGCCATCGCAGATGAGTAGAAGTTCATGTTATTATATCTGTAGGGCAGAATGCGAGATGAAGACGAAGCGGCAAGCAAGGCAAGCCATAGCGTTGGTGATCTGCACGTGCGACCCGAGCTTGCGCTTGCTTTTATTTCAGCCTGCTGACGTGTCTCGGTCCGCTGACGTTCCTCGGCCTTCCAGTTCGTCTGTACGTGAATAAATCACGTGACAAAGACAATAAATACTCAAACGCCTCCCAAAATTATCGAGGGTACTCCACCGGCTATGATAGAAATATAAGCTTTTATTTTAGCTAATATATCCTAGTGGCAAAAGTGTTTCAAAAGCCCGGTGAGTTCATGGTTCTAAAAGGCGTATTTTTATATCATTGAACAAATCCTAAAAAAATTACTTAGACGTTCTGCCACCTATGCGGGTAGCATTGTGTGAATGATAAGCTCAAAGAGCACACCAAATGAGTGGAGGTTGTCAAGTCCAATGCTAGTAACATATGTCCCTGCAATTTCCGGTAGGGGCCCGTGGTTGCTGTTTATCCACCGCGATGAATCAGCGTGCAACAATCGCGACAGACGGATGAATGCCTGAATGATAGGCTCAGAGAGCACAAACAGGAGCTTAACTGTGACCGCGACGGGCGCGAATCAGTTCATCGCAATGACTGCGGCTGCCGACCTCTGTTCAGTGAACGTGTAGTTCGGTATGGAGAGATTGGTGAGGCCTGGTTGACCGCTAAAGAAAATGCAAACAATGCCAGTGCGCCCTCGATTGCTCGGAGCTAAATGAAATCGCGTTGCTAAATGATCAATGCTTTTACTTCTAATACGGTGTCGTAGTGAGCTGTTTTTAGTGCTGTTTTTGTTGCTGCATAAGTACAACATGCTTCCAAAATGAAGATTTAATTGTGAATAGCACTTATCCCGTACTCTTTCAGTGGTATTATCAGCGCTATGCTTTCATTGAGCGTAACAAACGAACCAGCCCAAAAGGATGTTCTCCGACCAAACATTTACATGGACATATAAAAATAGCAGTGGACTTGAAGATCTCCCCTCACTTGGTGTCAGTGTGTACTGAGGATGCCACCCACAAACGTCTATGTAAGTTTATATTTTGTTGAATTAGGTCGAGGTATGTCTTTTAGAATCATGGATCGTAGAAGCTGGCGTACCACAACCGTTTGCTCAGTGTATAGAGTGCGTCCGACCCTTCATCAAGCGAGATTTCCTTAGTTTATGTATCTAAATATACAACCACATACTGGCGCACATATACGTTTATGGCTTTGCGAGTCTCTCTCACACCCTCTTAATAAGATATTGGCTGCAACACCAGCTAAACACACGTGCGAATTTTTGTGATGCCGTCCTCACCGGTTTCAAAATGTTTTACCTCATCGTATTAAGCAGATATGCGCGTATGCCCCCAATAACGCCATTTAGTGGACAATATGTCATTGCCCCGTGTTCTATCTAACTAGGCCAATCTCTGGTTTGCGTGACCAGACAACTATCATCATTATGAACGGCCTCTATCTTATTGCTTCGGCATGGAGAAAATAACGAAGGAGCATTGCGTCACGCTGCTAGCCTTGGCAAGCCAGCCCGTTTAAGGCAGTGGCGTCCGTCCAACAAATGACCCTCTTGCATCAATATGACGCAAGCAATGAGATTTGAGAGACTTCGGGATATGGCGGCTGGTAGCTTTCAATCGAAGACGCTTGTTCGGCGTAGACTAGCCGGCTCACGGAGACGGTTTAAAAACGGAACGCTACCGTGAGTACTAAAACCTACCACATGCTCTGACGTTTCGGTCACCTGCTGGGCTGACATAGTGGGCTTCGATCGCTTGACGTAATGCTCTCCCGTTTTATTTTTTGTTTGCCTTTATGGCTGAGCCTGATGCGCGTAATGTAATAACCTAACCAGCACGTGCGCTCTTAGTCCACTTCTTCATTATTGGATTAACTTTATATAAGGGCGGTTTGATCTGGGCGACGTACATTTGAAAAAAAAAACTGGATAGGTATATAAATACTTCTTTTTATCACGTAGTGATTTGGCAAAATAAAGGGCCTATGGCGAACACATTTATTGATGTTGACGCAATAATAGGGCGATCTAGGTGATTTCCCAATGTGTGTGCCTTCTGAAGCAAACACAGGAGAAGCACAGAACAAATTGACAGAATAGAAAGAAGTGAAAGAACCAGAGACGAACAGACAGAATTACAGACAGGTACAAAGAGAGGGTGCGCCTTGCTAATTAAGAGCATGATAATTTTGACATTTTAATAAACGTTTCGCTCAGTAGAACCTTCATAATTATGACCACGTGAGATGAGATCTTGTTAATTTGGACCATTGTAAGAAAGACCATGCTAATACAAACCATGCTAACGGGGACCATACTAAGCAGGGCCTTGGTAATATAAATCAGCCACAAGCTCCAATGTTTTTCGCGCCTTGCACCACGATAGCACTGCGCATATTGTGAGTCAATTTTGAACAATGTATTCACATCAACTAGCTCGCGTTCAGAGCCACTCAATTACTCGCAAACTTCCACCTGCTCTGATGCATACGGCGACAGGCGCGCTTAGCCATTTTACCATCTTATCTTGCACTATTCCTGAACCACGATTTTCAAACACCAAGTTATGACACAACATAAATGCTTGCCTGCAGGTTGTATATAAATGGTAGCCGCAGCTTCAAATCTTTCGCCCAGCGCTCGCCGAACACTTCGTTGAGGATGCCGCGGTCGACACCATCGAAGCTGGCAGTCTCTCGGGCCGCCCTCATCACCTGCGCACAAGATGGCGTGCTGTGCTGAGCCGTACTTTCACACGACAGCAACGTGTGCATAAAATTGAAAGTGCTCGCTAGTATATGTTCTTCTTCAGGAGTCACATGAGTAATCGGTCATATCATGAAATATTTACTCTGTATCTCATTACTGTCTACTTTTTTCTCACAATGACTGGCAGTCAATCGACACCATATACGTTGTGTTATCATGTTTTTTTTTATTTTAGTTCTCCGAATTCGTTGCGAGCAGATGCACAAATCACCGAGGCAAGGGGGTCGACAAAGCTTCAGACTTTCTCGTTCAGGATAGGGGAGGGGCATGGGGAAATTCAGGTGAAATGCACCGAAAGAACACGGACTAGAAGAAGCAGACAGGACAGCGTTTACCTGTCTGCGTACATGTCTGCTTTTTCTACTCTGTGTTCTTTCGGTGCGCTTCAACCCAACTTTCAAACATGAACGTAAACCAAGTGACCCAACTTGACATCTTGAGAGGGGGAGGGGGCACTCTTTGATAGGGTCAACCCCCCCCCCCCACACACACACTTGATACTTGTCTTTTCAACATAATATTTGAATGAATTCTCGCGGTAGCATTTTCACATCGCAAAAGCGTGCATAATTCTTCTTATTATTGTTTTCGGACCTCGGGGTTGTCAACTGGCCCTGTAATATTGAAGTGGGTCTTCACGACAGTGCAAAATTTTTCTTGACTTGGTGTTTTCACGGTTTATCATTGCTTTAGTGCAGTGAAACTATCTTTCAAAGACGTTACATGCGGATTAATACATATTTGACAAATATTTTACCTGCTTATCACTCCATCAACGCAGTGAAACAACATTTACAAAATCTTACATACGGATCATACGGATTTTACACATATATTGTTTCATTTCGAATATATATATATATATATATATATATATATATATATATATATATATATATATATATATATATATATATATATATATAATAGAACGGAACTCAAATACTGTAACTTTTATTGGGATATTCGCATCAATCGTATATTCTCACAAGCCTACATTTTCTTTTAAACGCTCTAAGTCCACCAACAGCAGATGTGAATAAACTTGATTGATTGTGCATTATTTTCAAAAGAAAAAAAATGCACTGAGCATATGAATGCTTGACAAGAAAGCTTCTAGAGGCAAATAGTGAACGGCTGTTTGTAACAAGAGCACACAATGGCGAACAAACTCAAGAAAATCTTTCAATTCACCCATAGTGACAAAAAAGGAGGGGTAGGAGGAGGAGGGGGGCATAGAGTGAAGAAAAAACAATTGCTGCCAACATGAGTACTAAGTATATTGTTGATCTAGAAAGTAGGAAATGCTAAGATCCACTCCAATTTTAGTCTTACTGCAGAGCCCACAGCACCAACCTTGTTGCCGGCGACGTCTTCAGCTACTGTCCGAAAACATCACGATTTTCACGAGAAAAGTTACACCTGAATGTTTTACCGTTTCCATTCATACAAGTATTTCTACTGTTGCTGCTTATTCAAATATCTTTTGAATAACCAGCAACAGCAAAAATACTTTAATGAATGAAACGGTAAAATAGCCAGGGGTGACTTTTCTTGTTTGCATCACTGATTTATCCAGATGAGTGCAGCCGATGAATTTAGGGGACGAGAGACACTATACTTTTGACAAAATGAAGTCGTCTATGCTTAAAACTTAAGTTTTGCCAAGGTGGTGGGGTCATTAATCCACCATATGACATTATGTGACGTCTATGCACTACCGCGACACACAATACTAATGGTATTTCATGAAGTTGGCTTAATATTTGGGCATTGACTTTATTTAGAAGCTGTTCACAAAGTACGACCTTGAATACTCACAACTGCATTTCATACTCCCGTTACAAAATACTTCGAATGCTCTATATGCTGCTGCATATGAGATAGTCTTAGTTTGAATAATTGTGGAATTTTTTTATTTGTTAAAGCTTGTGAATATATGTTGCCAACAAACTATTGTGCAACTCTCGGGCTGTTTTAAAAAACTGTTCACACACTAATCTAGAGAGAAATCTTCTAAATATGATCACCCCTTATTAGGATGGTCGTCTTACGATTCGAACGCTGTTCTTACAGTATTCAATTTGTATTCATGTTGGATTCGGTGGCATCACTATTCGATTCATATCAAATTTGGTGCCTAAATACACAATTCACGCATTCCAAGTCGAAAGCCGCCTGTGTCTGCCGCGGTGTATGAACAAGATGTCACAGTTACTTCCTCCGACTAAAAGATTAAGGAAGCAAAAGCCGAGGATAGTGCGAATATATCTGGCATGCTTACGAAGCACGAAGTATGGACACACGAGTATTGCAAACTATGTTCAGGTTTTTCTCTGTGTTGGAGGACTGGAAAGCATAACTGCGAGGACGTTCGTGAACAGTACGCAATGCAAGATATATTTCTGACCGAGGAGAGAGCCGCGCACTACTGTCGCCATCTGTGCTCAGAGGAAATGTTCAACAAACTGTTTCAAGAGGATGCCAAGGGCGTAAGTAAATAAACATCACTGCATGGGCTTGGCCAATATTTCTATGGGGGTCACTCTTCGACAAATACATCGTGTTCTTAAGTTTTCTAAACAATGAAACAAGACTTGAAAGAAATTATCACCATGAATCGTCACCTCGGTGCTGGTTCAACCAGCTTACAAGCACAGATGAGCAGCCAACAGCAGAAACGTGCGTTGATCAAGAGGCTGTGGCTAATATTTCTATTCAATATATCGTCCGGGCTAAATCATAAAGTCTAAATGCTAGCACTTTTCTATTATAACTCTTAAAAATAGAGCTTTAATGTGACATTTGCTGTGTACCTGGTATGTATGGTAGAGTAATTTTATCTTGTGTTTTACGTGCCAGAACAACGATATGATTATGAGGAACGTGATTGTGGAGATGTCCGAAAGTCCATAACACCTATGCAATCTTTGAGAAGCACTAACATCGCGCAGTACACGGGCACCTAGCATTTCACTTCCATCAAAATGCGACTGCTATTGTCGGATTGAACCCGCAACCCTGAAGTCATCAGCCGACAATCGTAACCGCTATACCACTGAGGTGGACATGACAGAATTAGTCTCTCATGATTTTCTCCAAGAAACTTTCCTGTAGAGCACGTTTATGTCCACGAATGATTTTAGAAAATTTACACCAACTAAGTATTCATGAATAATTGTCGGGTTTTAACGTCTAAAACCACGATATGATTATGAAAACGCCATGCTGTAAAGAGCGCCGGAAACTTCAGCCATCTATAGTTTTCTACAAGGTGCTCAGACATCGCACAGTACACGCGCTTCCACCATTCCGCCTACTGGTTACAGCAAAAAGCAACAGCCACAACCGCGATTGAACCTGCTACCTTCGAGTCAGGATCTACCTCGGCTGACAACCCGACATCACGAGAACGGAGAAGTTCATGCCTATATAGTCAGACACAACAAATTTAGACGTCTGCCGCATTTGTTACTCGCAGGTTTGTACGCGCACTATGGACTGACGTCATGAGGCAGATGGCCGGTCACCTCGCCTTCAGAGAACGTTACCGAGTTCAAGAGAAGGACTATTCCTTAAGTTGCTGAGGTGACGACGGCTGCGTTTTAGTCATCTAGGCTGATGGGCCTATGTGGACTTCGTACGCTGTACCCGACTATCCCCGACATTCCGACATACATACATACATACATTCATACATACATACATACATACATACATACATACATACATACATACATACATACATACATACATACATACATACATACATACATACATACATACATACATACATACATACATACATACATACATACATACATACATACATACATACATACATACATACATACATGCAGATAGAAAGACATATAGATAGACAGTAAACAAACAGACAGACAGATAGATAGATAGATAGATAGATAGATAGATAGATAGATAGATAGACAGACAGACAGACAGACAGACAGACAGACAGACAGACAGACAGACAGACAGACAGACAGACAGACAGACAGACAGATAGATAGATAGATAGATAGATAGATAGATAGATAGATAGATAGATAGATAGATAGATAGATAGATAGATAGATAGATAGATAGATAGACAGATAGATATATAGATACGTAGATAGATAGATACATAGATAGATAGATAGATAGATACATACATAGCTAGATAGATAGATATAGTCGATGGTGTGCTTACGAGGCCGTAAGTCTTTTCGGAGGGCTCGAACACGAACACGCCCGTGTCGAAGATATTGGGCCAACCCCTGAGGGGCACGGCGGCCAGTTCCTGCTTTTGGAACAACTCGTCACAGTTGGCCACCACCATGGTGTCGGCATCCAGGAAGACACCCTTGATGAGATGCTGCAGCCGCCACACATGCAGCTTGGAGTAGGAGCACGACACCCCGTCAGCCTCCCGACCGGGGTAGCCCAGTGGATCCCGTCCCCTGCGCGAAGGGAAGGCCTGATTTTAGGGGTGAAGCTCCTTAAGCCGTGGGTTTGTCCCTCTGTGAGGGCAGGTTTGTGAAATTACCGCGACTCAAATACTCGTTGCCGAGATTGATGAATACGTTTGTACAAGGGTGAAAAAATGTGTTTACGATGGAAGAGATGACGTAGGAATTAGCGGTAATGAAGCGATGCAAGAAGACTATTATTATGAACACTGTTCTAGAGTCAGTTAACACAGTTCCCCACTACACTAAACAAGGCTGGCAAAGTTTCACCATATGCGCGTCAAGGCTGCTTGGTCGACGAGTCGCTGCGTGGAGTCTCACGCTGGCAGCAGGGACAGGCCAGACGTGGTTGAAATTTAGCAGACTTGATGTCGTGTAGAGAACTCGTCTCAGGACCAATGGTATACACCAAGGTCTTCAATTCGCCCGGGTCCGAGCACAAGAGACCAGCGCCGTCGGCGTGGACAACCCACGGACGGACTGCAGGCAGTGGTTTGCAGGCAGCGGTCTGCTTCAAGACCAGGACCCGATGAGCACCTCGGCCTGCGACTGCCTCCTTGTCACGTTCTGCAACTCCGGTCTTCTTTGCCCCCTTCTCTCCTTCTCTTTGTGCCTGTTCGGCTTGATTTACGATCACCATTTCATCTCCCAGCCTGGCTTGTCGTCGTTTTCATTGACGCACCACAGAGCACAAGACCATAACTGCCACGCACTCCACGAAAGTACCGCGGACACCATGACATCCTCCTAGCTCGTCGTGGTTCGGGGCCTTCTAGTTCGATGACTCACTCAGCAGGTGCGGACGCGTGAACAGACAGACAGACAGACAGACAGACAGACAGACAGACAGACAGACAGACAGACAGACACACGGGTGCACGAATGGATAGATGAAGGATGGACGGACGGATGGACAAACGGACAGACGGATTGATGCTTCGCCCCACTCATTATCATTCACTCTGTTTATATGCTGCGATTTATTTTTGGTGGCGCGGCAAGATCGAGTCGTTCGCGCTACATGAGTACAGCATATGCGCATACTTCTCTGCACATTTGAAAGATGAAGACAAACTGAAGAATTTGTATCGGCGTTGAGTCTTGTTCTTTCAACATTTTGTCGCTCTTCGCATGCGCTGTAACGTTTCTAAGATGCGATGCCACATAGTCCACCAAGCAATCTCTGTGAAGTTCTATACAAAGCCATGGATCCCTCATATCGATAGCGGCTGCGTGCGTGCAACGTGAACACCAACGACATATGCCTAGTTCTCTCTGCATAACGATGAAAATCTCGCTTAGCCTTAATCAACGACACCTTTATTCGCACGAATCGTGTGGTGCTACTGTATGAGTATTTTGCACCGATGCTGTCGTTGTTGACGTTTTGAGCCGGTCTATAATTAGTATAAAGAAGAAAACTGATGGCAGATATGTCGGGTCTTGCCCCGAGAAAGAATTCTATAAGTGAGGAACTGGTATGCATCGTCAAGGGCAACACGAAAAGCGCATCATGCCATCGTATCATCACCATCGAAGTCACCTCATTCATTACACTTTAAGATGGTGCTTCAGCAACACCACGCGCCAGGAATTATAATTTGCTTCGCAAGTACGTTAGCTCGCTTGAATGGATACTGAACACGCGAAGGGAAAAATGATGAAAACACCAAAATCAAGTGTATGTCAGATATTCCTGAACAATACGCTGTACTATACGCTGTCAGTGTTGGCGGGCTGCGCATCAACGGCCCTGTCGCGAGTTGTCTTCGTCGTGGTTGCATGGATGTAGGATGCAATAACGTTAAATGTCTCCATGGTCACCTCCTTTAATTTATGGCATATGCTCTAGGCGCGGCAGCTTGTGAAGAAATGTATTAGGTTGATTATATTCTGCTATAGTTCTCCCCCAGTGTTTCAGTTCTGCTGAAAAACTCGGCGGCAACAATTTCATTCACTGTTCCTTTAAGCGACGTGGACAGCGGGGAAGACAAAACGCACGTAGCTCGTACTTTCGCCTGTTCACAAACTCGCCAAAAAATAGAAATTCCCGTACATACGTTGCACACTATATATATACTACCCGCGCTCTACTATAGTGACATCAATATGGTTTAAAAGTTCATTTATTGCCAGTCTAACAAATGTTGTATCCGCATTGTTCCCTTTTGGTTCAAGATAAGTTACATGAACACTCAGGCGACTTTTCGATGTCGTGTTCCTTAAAAAGCTGACACGTACAGACCTTATGCGAAATCTGCTGCAATCCAGTGGCCGCCGTACGCATTTCCGCCATTATGAAGGCAGGCGCTCTTCACATGTGCACACATGCTCCGTGCGTGTCGACGTGTGGTGTTTGATAGAGAAGGATATTCCAAGATATTTTTGTTTACCATGTTGCTCAGAGCGAGGAAATTGGGATGTCGAAAAATTATTTGCAGAAAACTAACTTTCATGTTGTCAGATTCCTTCGCCGACGAAGACAGGTGGCGCAGATCATTCCATTGCTCCAGCTGCTGCTGCTGCCGCTTATGACTGCAGGCGTGTTTACGCTCACTGTGCTTAATAGACGCGGTATGCGACAGCGTGACATTAATCTGAGAACAGTATTTTGTGTCATGCCGGAACAAGACAGCTTTCGCGCCGTCACTTTGCAGGCACAGACAAACCGGCTTCGTGTACGAGCTTCAAAGCTGAGGACACAATTACTGGGTTTTTTACATTGCGATAACAATTATTGTTAGACAGCTACTCATGCACGCCATTGATTCTCAGCGAGTGGACCGACTGTGTTGGACCCAGTTGTGGGCGGAAATTTGACTCGCGGGTGCGTTGGGCGGAAGACATCATTTGATCCAACGTGTGGTCCGGGCAGATAAGTGTGGTCGAATGTCAATCAGTGCTCTGTATTTCATGGTAGAAAAAAAATCGAAGGTGGGGTCTGGCGTGCCGACCCTCTATCGGCTGAAGCGTTCTTGTTTGTGTTTGAGTAGTTTAAGACAGCGCTAGGGGGATGCTTTGCGGGCGTATTGTCTTACTATGCATACTGTTCAAGCATTTCATGTGCTACGACTGCCAATAAGTATACAGAGAGGTGGCCCGGATGGCCTGATTTTGCCCCATTTTTTGAAACCTATAGCTTAAGAATTTATGAGGTTTTCACAGAAGCTGATCCCACTGCAGAAAAAAAAAATGCGCATCACTGTTAGTTAAAAAAATGTTATCTGATGCTGGTGTGGGGCACTTTACATATGAAACTTTGAAGAGCGGCTCTTCCGGCAGATGTGTTCCATTCGACCGTGGTTTTGAAGCGGATGTATATAGTTACGCAGCTGTTCAGTCGGCGACGCAAAATGGTCGTGCCGGAACGGGTTGAAATTGTAAGACATCAGGAGCTCCCCGAAAGTGACGAAGGCAACGCGAACACTCTTGGCGTATCGTGTTATTTATGAGCCTATGTCGGTAGGATATTCAATAATACATAAACTAATCCACACATACTCCTTGGAGGAGCTAACAGTTTTCATGTTCACTTTTCACGTGCGTGAGAAGCGGAAATTGACATTGTAATCACGTCATAATTATATACATACCATACATCGTGGAGTACAGCAGCCAAGTATATTTTGCTATAAAATATAAAAAATGGGCGAACATTTATTTAATAATTATTGCCCTATACACCAGGTTGACATACAATGTTACTTATGCAATACAGCAGCATTCTTTTACCGTCGTCACTGTGCCTCGCCGTAGTGCGCTTGAGAAGCCTTCCGCCAATGATTCTACACTCAGGGGCAGCGCCAGCAGGGGCGCGCGAGGGGGGGGGGGAGGAGCAATCGTTCATCTGAGAGCAAGCACATTGTAAACACAATGCCTAAAATACCCGCCTTCTTATATCCCTGAATGAACTCATTGGTCGTTGGTACTTTCCCAGTAAAATTCTTGGCACTGCCCCGGCCTGTACAACAATATAATACTCAGATAGCTATAGCAGCTGTTTATTCACTACCCTCGAAACAGATAGACTAATTTTATAACCCAACGCAAGGCTCCATTCGCGACGACTGGCTTACACGTGGCTTGGTGGCACGTGTAAGCCTCTTGTACTTTTTTCTCATTGTGATGCAGTTATTTACACGTAATCGTTGTCACTGTGCAACCAGGAACCGCCGATAATGTGTATTGGCCCTCACACTCATCTGACTTGTTTGTGCTCCGATTGGCCATTATAAAATCAAATACACGCGTTATAGCAGCGAACCTAAAATGATTTGGACACAAGGTTGTGAACGCACCGTGAGTGACTGCGACGATGAACAATCAGCTGCTAACTCGTGAGGAGCAAGTTGCTCATTACGTCCCATCGTGGGTTAGTGTTCTTCCACGCTCGCAAGTCACCTTGATTGTATTTAATGTCTGATATCCTACAGCGTTATCAAAATAAAATCATGGTTTTTCTCTGGGTTTGACTTCCGACTTCCTGCAACTACTGTGGAGATTTACTCCGGAATTAGTTACTCCGCAGTTACTTACGGTAGCAATTACTCCGCAATTGTTATGGAGCGCCACATGCCTCCAACACGCTCGAGTTGAAGTATCTCCTACTCGTGCCACATGGGCAGAAAAAATGGCATTTACCTTCCAATGCCTTCCTATTGAATGTCATTCGCGTGGTGCCACACGGATGAACGAAATGGCACTCGCCCAAATGCCATTCGTTACCTAATGCCATCGGCAGAACGCATTCGACTGAGAAATGCGTACTCTGGATGGCGCAGCTAATGAAGTAATTAAACAAAACGACATTTTACTCGGCTGGAAGGAAGCTTTTGATGGCTTTTCTTTACACTAATAATTTGAACGAGTGCTTAAAAATGTTTCTTCAAATGTTAGGTGCTGTAAAATAAATGCAACAGGCGCCATTTTCTCCTACGCTTTGTATCTGACTAGCTTTGGCTTAAGTTGCTACACGGTCGGTTGCAACGTCATGAAAGAAAGAAACGAACGAAATCTAGAGGCAGTGTAATATGGTTATTTCTACATTTATTCCTTCTCGGATGTATATGTAGCTTGTAAACGCACGTTTATTTTTCTATTGATACTCCACAATTGCTCACTACAGAAGATGGTGTGATCGACATCATCCGAGTCAAATGTTATTCATTTTGGAAGTGTAGCAACTCCGCCCAAAAAATGTCATTCGGGAACTGAATGCCTTCACTACCGAATGTCATTTCCTGTGCCCGTGTGGCCCAGATATCTGTGTATTGAGCTAATGACCGCTTACTTATGGATGTGTTAAAGAGTGTTGGGAAGGTTCGTTGGGGTGCAAGGAAGATAGTAAGCGCCTCGGTTATAGCAACCATACCTGAGCAGCGTGACGAGCTGGATGTCGTCGAAGACTTGCGCCAGCAGGTGTCTCATGACGGCGCCCACATCTCGCGTGATCAGCACCGTGAGCTTGTAGCGGGTGCGAGCTTCCCGCAACGAGTATCCCAGCACCAGCGCTCCGAAAGAATACGTGTCGTCCGTGGCCAACGTCACCCACGACTGCTGTGGCTCCTGTCCGGGCGGGTCGTGTGGCGGAGACGGACAGAAAGCCTCCATCTTGACCTGCCGTTGTTCTTCTTGTTCGTTTCACGTGCCCCCTGCACGCACGAGGTTCACGCGCGCCTCTCGACGTCAACTGCGTTCATACTAAAAGAGAAAGAAAGCTCGTTCCGCATCCATGTGGCCAGCTTTTAAGTTAACGTTGGCGTTACATTTCTTTCGGCAATTCATCAAATCATTTTGCAATCAGCTTCGGCATATCAATGGTTTAAGCGTTGCGAATATGCGTTGTATGTCTTGTTTTAAAATCATTTTAATCACTTTCTTTCTCCTGTCGACTTATATGACTTGACCGCTGTATCTTGATTTGTTAAATATGTAAAATTGGTTACAGCTGCTTACAGTGCACTTCAGCGCGCCACTCTTCTTGAGACTAGCAGAGCTGGATAAATAAATAAATGAATAAATATATAATTACTTAATTAAAACTAATTAGTATATATATATATATATATATATATATAAATATGGAGATCCCACGTATATAGGGAATAGACGTTTGCGAAACATGCTTAGGGTGGTTGTTGTAATTAGTGAAACGTTAAGAAATGGCGCTAAATATATTTACAAATATTTACGCAATGTTCAATAGTCACATATGTTTTATAAAACCAGTTGTTTACGCTTGCGTAACGATATCATCAGCAGCACGTGTTAGCAACACGAGAAGTGGTAAGACTCTACAGCGTTTGAGCTCGCAAGGTGATGACCCTGGACACCGCCACATATATGATCTTCAGTGAATGACTTTAACCAAACGTGACGAATGTATCATAGGAATACATATGTGATGTTTATAACATTGTATAGTGAGCACTGCAACCACAATTGACATTTCATCAATAATACGCCTGAATAGTGTACATTTCCAAACCAGTATCGAGGCCTTGCCTGCCTCTGTGCAAAAATACTTGATGCCTACGCGAAATGCTTGGGTTCAATTGCTGCTGGCACCCTGACATTTATAAATTGTATCCATCGACTCAACGCTGATGATGTCAGCTTTTTACTTTAAAAATTACCGATGGCTCTCCTCGGCGTTCCTTGGTAGATACAAACTGTCAGTCACTTGTGACACATAAACGCACACCTGTGGCATATTCCTGGCCGCGGACATGTACCATGCGTCTGGCGGAAATACTTTGACGGCGCACGTGACGGGATTTCGACACTGTTCAGGTTATGTCTAGTGAGGCATATTCGTCAAACCATCTTACCCTCCCGTACTAATTCTGTTTACCCCAAGTTAAGGGGCTGATCTCGAGAGTAACCAGACGCAGGCGACAAGATAGATAGTTAGATAGATAGATAGATAGATAGATAGATAGATAGATGGATAGATAGATAGATAGGCAAACAGATAGATAGATAGATAGATAGATAGAAAGATAGATAGATAGATAGATAGATAGATAGATAGATAGATAGATAGATAGATAGATAGATAGATAGATAGATAGATAGATAGATAGATAGATAGATAGATAGATAGATAGATAGATAGATAGATAGATAGATAGATAGATAGATAGACAAAGGAGCCGAACCTGCGGTCTTCGAATAGTGCGTTCGATGCTCAACCTCAGAGCTACCACGGCGGCTATCCTCCCAGCCACTTTCTTGGGTATACATTTGAATTTAAACGTGGGGATGTCAGTCAGCGCCATCTTAAGCCATGGCGGCGAGTGTGGCACACACTTTCAGGAGCCTGTGTGGCATCACGTAGCACGTGAACATATTATGAACTCGCAGCTGACCAATAGTCCCTCGTATACAACCTAAGACACCAAGTCTGCCATTATGAGACCCTCGTTCACGAATAAGGGAAAGAAGTGTATACTTAAAAGCTCGCTTTTCCGTATTTTGAACCAATATTAATGAGAAAATTGAGCAGAAAAAATTGGCAGATCCCACGTACAGTCGGAATCAATGATATGCGAAGAACTAAAAAGAAATGTTGATATGAGACTTTAAAATCAGCACAACATGAAGAGGTGGAGGTAAATGAGGCCGTACATGACTTCCGAGTCATGATTATCGTATTTGCATGTGTCGTATACCTCCGTCATCTATTCACTTCACGTGATACCAAATTTAGTATATGTGGAGCTAGCGAAACATCTGCGAGCACACTATGGGCGTGGTATGTTGTGATGTTCTTACATGACACGCCTGTCAGGATTATCATGTTTGCACCAGTCGTATATTTCGTCATCCATTGACGTCACGTAACACCAAATTAGGTATATGTGAAGCTTGCAAAACGACCACGTGCGCATAATGAAGGGCCTAATATACTCCAATGTACCGTTGACGCGCACGCACGCTGGGCACAGCGACGCTACATGAGCAAAACGCGAGTACTCTATAGTCTGACGCCAGGCGCGACAAGCGTCCGTCGGCGCGGCCCGATGGCAACCGGCGTTAAAGGCGACATGCTCCATTTCGCACCGATGCGTTACCCATACAGCACTGCGTCTTCCTCTGTTCGTGCCTGAGGGATGCTAGACGCACCGAAACCCGCATCCGCCAAAGCAACGCAGCGCGCCGCGCTCCTGCGAGTATATGGCAGGACAGGATGGATGGATGGATGCTATGAGCGTCCCCTTTATAACGGGGTGGTGACAAGTATGCCACCAGGCTCGACAAAAAACAAAAACCCTTTTTTTTTCTTTTTATGTTGGCCTAATGCCTCTACTTCGATAAATTCTATCTTAATGGAAAAAAAGGTAAATTTTCAGCTTAAGTTCTCTGCCATTTACGGCACACTGTCCATATTTTATTTTTCCAATATTTATTTTTGTCCTTTCTCTCTAATTTTCTGCCACCAATACTCTAACCGTCTCTTACTTATTTCAATCGCGGGTGTGTTCAGCTTTCCATTGTTGTCCCTAAAACCCAAGGCTTCCTGTAGGCTCGTGCCCAAACGTACACCTGGGTGGATATCTCCACATTCAATCAGAACATGCTCCGCCGTTCCTTATCTTTCCCGCAGCATGTGCATTGTTCTTCTTCTTTACTGAATCTTGCTTTATAACTACGCGTTCTAAGGCAACCCGATCTCGCTTCAAACAGTAAAGCGCTTCCCCTTGAATTATCGTAAAATGCCTCCCTCCTTATTTCATTTTTGCCCTTTCGGTAGTTACTCAAAGCCGGTTTTTTCTCCATAGCTGCCATCCAGTAAATCCTCTCCGCCTCCCTGACTTTTCCTTAACGCTCTTTGTTGACATATGGCTTACAATACCAGCCGTATACTTACTAGTGAGTCTTCTAGTTCTTTTTCTCCACTGTGTGTCCACGCTCTTCCTATACAAATAACGGAACACCTTCTCTGCCCATCTACTCTCCTTCATATTTCTTAGCCTTTCTTCGAACCTTATTTTGCTCTGCGCTTCCCTCGCCTCAAAACCTGCCCACCCCATATCGCCCTTTACAGCCTCGTTTGTCGTCTTCCCGTGAGCACCCAACGCGAGGCGTCCCACAGTCCTTTGATTTACATCCATTCCCGCTTGCACCTCTGCCCTCATGCACACCACTGAGTTCCCAAAAGTAAGCCCTGGAACCATTACACCCTTCCACAGACCTCGAAGCACCTCATACCTATTGTATCCCCACCACGCTCTGTGCTTCATTATTGCCGCATTCCTCTTTCCTTTTGCTGCCGAGGCTTTTTCCTGTACCTCCATGTATCTATCACTCTCATTTACCCATACTCCAAGGTACTTGTATTCACTTACCCTCGGTATTTCTTGGCCTTGTATGGACACCGTCTGATCACAGGGATCATTGAATACCATCAATCCACACTTCGTTACACTGAATCCTAGTCCAAGAGCTTCACCTTCCCTTCCGCATATATTCGCCAGCTGCTGTATATCATCTCGACTGTCCGCAAATAAGACGATATCGTCCGCATAAAATAAACCTGGAAGCTTCTGCTCAATCATCATGCCGCCCTGTTTGTGTGACAGATTAAAACCAATGTTGCTACCTTCTAGCGCTTTTTCCATACTCACCATGTACAGCATGAATAACAGCGGGGACAAAGGACATCCCTGTCTCAGACCCCTGCTAACCTCAACGTTCTCTTTGCTACGCATTCCTTCCCACTCTATGCAAACTGTATTTTCTCGGTATATCTCCCTCAAAAGCTGTATACAGTCGTCGCCCATGCCCATTCCTTTCAATATATCCCACAAAATTTCCTGATTAACGTTGTCGTATGCCCCAGTGATGTCTAGAAAAGCCACGTACAAGGGCCTATTCTCTATTTTGGATATTTCTATACACTGAGTGAGAACAAACAGGTTATCGTCTAACCGCCTGTCGACTCGAAATCCGTTCTGAAGTTCTCCCAAAATATCGTTATGTTCGGCCCATGTTTCTATTTTCATTTTTACTGCTTGCATCGCCATCCTGTATAGTACCGATGTAATGGTTAGTGGTCTATACGAGCGAATCTTGTCCTTTTCACCCTTGCCTTTATAGATTAAGTTCATTCTACTTTGTCGCCAACTGTCCGGTATTTGTCCGTCCTTTAAGCTTTTTTCTACTGCTTTTAACAATGCTTCTTTAGTGTTATGTCCTAGTTCGTTAATGAGGCTAACGGGAATCCCATCTAAACCCGCGGCAGTGCGCTTTGGAATTTTTCCTTCGGCCTTTTTCCAGTTGAAATTATCAAGTACTAGCTCTTCCTCTGTTGCTTTCTCCGCCACACTTTTACTCACCGGGGAGATCCCCTGGACGCTCTTTTGAAACGAATCGGCTGTTACCTTTTGGATGTAACCTAGCGCTTCGTACCCTTCCAATTGATTTCCTCCTTCATCTAGAATATGTTGTTGCGTTGTGACAGACTTCCTACCTAGCGCCTTTATGTGGCTCCAAAAAATCCTAGGCGCGGCCTCCTTTTTTTCGTGTATCTCTGTCATCCAGCGTTCACTTTCACCTTTAATTTTTGCCTCTACCAATTTCTGTACAAGGGATTTTTTCTCTAAATA